AAATCTTTTTCTAACTCTTTCTTCATCTTTCCTACTCTATAAATGGAATCAATTTTTTTAAAATCCATCACAAATACAAATCTCTATCTATCATCTTTCTTTAAAAATTTATTATTCAAGTATTTCATTTATTTTATCATGAATGTAATTTTTTTATTTAATGAATGTAATTTTTTTACTCAATGAATGTTATTTTTTATAATGAATGTAATTTTTTAATGAACTACTCTCGTTTAAATTCTTTTTAAAAATTAAATAATTAAATTCTACAAATTTAGTTTTAGAAGATGTGTATTTAAAAATGTAAAAAATGAAGGTTTGAAGCCTGGCATTTCTGCAGAAACTATGCCGTGAGTTAAAGCTGAAGGTTTGAATCCCCGGTTATGGCAGAGTTGTGGTGGGGCTAGGGTGGGATTAAGGGGTGGGCCACGGTAGAATCCATCAATTTTAGGTGTTCCAAAAAGAGTAAATTCCATAATTAATCCTTTATAACAGGGGGAGTTTCCATATTTAGTCCTCTATTATCAAATATTACCTCCGTAGTACTTTTTTTAAGGGTAACTTTCCACAAATGGTCTTATTTTTGATCTTCTGTCATGTTTGTGTTAATTTAAAGGCTAAAAATATAATTTGACGTTAACATTATGTCTAGTGACGTGTTCTCATATTGGTTAAGAGAATAACACAAAATAATGACTATGATTGTGGGCTAGGATTCAGATGAAAGATCACATTTGTATGCTATAGTTGTCGTAAAAAGCGACTGTAATTCACAAACACGCAAACGGAAAGGCCTTTGGAATTGTGTATGATAAAAAAAGATATATTATCATTGTGAAATTACACTTTTAGCCTTCAAATTAACACTAGCATGATAGAAGATCAAAAAGGACTATTTGTGGAAAGGTGCCCATAAAAGAAGGATCATTTGGGTAATATTTGATAATAGAGGACTAAATAGGAAACCTCCTGTTATAAAGGACCAATTATAAAATTTACTCTTCCAAAAATATAACAACAAGGCTAATGGCACAGTTGGCAAGTGGTAACGGAACTCCACTCAATTATAAATTAACATTGAAAAAGATGCTTTGAATATGTAATGGGGGAGAAGGTACCTGGTCAGCTTCATAGATCCGCCGCCCCTCTGGTGTAGGCTTGGCATTGAGGTTTGGATAGGATATGTTTGTATGGCAATGGCGATTCCATCCCCATAGCGCTGCCCTGTTCCACTGGAAACGCAGCCCTACCCTCAATCGCTTCAGTCCAACGTAACCCATTGTAATCATCAAATTGGGTCGCCCGGCTATATTTCGCAACTTATCTTGCAATGGGGGAAGCAGAATTGTGATAAATATATGCGTGCCGTCCCATTCTCTTGGCATTATCTCACTGGAACTAGGGCTGGGTTGGGAAAACCAAAAACCGCAAACCGAACCGAAACCGATCGAAACGAGCTAGAAAAAAAACCGAACCGAAGAAACCGAAACCGAATGTAAAAAAACCGAACCGAACCGTTAGTGTTTGGTTCCGTTTTGGTTTTCACTTTGAAAAACCGAACCGAACCGAATAAACCGAACTTTCTTAGATACTTCACATTTTTTATATAAATATATGTGATATGTAGAAAAATCATAGAAATATAAATGCAAAGAAATTACTAGTCGATTAAAATTATTTTCTTAACTATTAATTAAACATTTTAACCATATTATTATAAACTTTTAAAAAATCTATGAATATAAACACCAATAGCTAATCCAAATATAGAATTATATTAACATTAAATATGGATACGAGTAATTTA